TCAATGTCAACAAAGAGTGCTATTTATCTTTTTTTTTTTGTTAATATAAAAAAATCTTAACTTTTCCCCCCTTTAGCCTTGATAAAAACCATATTGGAGACTCTGGAGCGGAGAAACTGTCTGGCGTTTTACATTTTTTGGAATGTCTGAAATTGCTCATGTAAGTTTGAAATATTTACCCAAGTATCAAACACTGGCACTTAATAGTCAGGGTGTTTTCTACATTAATTATAAATTGAAAAAAGCAACAACTGTCTCACAAATGATCAGTACTATTTTGCCTCCATTCAGCCTGTCTCAGAATTTAATTGGAGATGCTGGAGTGGGAAAACTGGCTCAAGCTCTGGCATCAGTTCCTTCTCTACAGACACTCAGGTATGTTCACTCTTGGAAAAGTTACGTATTTACCAGCACTAAGTAGACCTGAGTTTTGGAACGATTTCTAAAAAAAAAAACTTGTTTCGTCACAATGACTCCATTTTCTTTACTTCTAGACTGTATGGAAATGCGATTGCTGACAGTGGTGCTGAACATCTGGCCTTGGCTTTACCAGACATGAAATCACTGCAAGACCTTGAGTAAGAGTCTAGATTCAGTCAAATCATTTTACAAAATTACAAAAAAAAAAAGGACAATTAATATCCTATTCATTTTTGACAGAGTTTCTGATCTATTTTAATATATGCTACCTGAAAAAAAGTCTGATTGTTGATCCCAGTTGTAAGAGCAACAACTAATAACTTGACTTCTAGTTGATTATGGAAAAGTGGCAGAAGGTAGATTTTTCAAATGAATCATGTGTTGAACTGCATCCCAGTCATCATAAATACTGCAGAAGACATATTGGAACTTACATGGACCCAAGATTCTTACAGAAATCTGTCAAGTTTAAAGGAAAAATCATGGTTTGGGTTTACATTCAGTATGGAGGTGTACGAGAGATCTCCAGAGTGAATGGCAACATTAACAGCCTGAGGTATCAAGACATTTGTGCTGCCCATTACATTACGAACCACAGGAAAGGGTGAATTCTTCAGCAGGATAGTGCTCCTTCTCATACCACAGCCTCCGCATCAAAGTTCCTGAAAGCAAAAAAAGTCAATGCGCTCTAGGATTGGCCAGCCCAGTCTTCAGACATAAACAATATGGAGTATGTCTGGGGTAAGATGAAAGAGGAGGCATCAAAGAAGATTACAAAGAATCTTGATGAACTCTGCGGGTCCAGCATGAATGCTTTCTTAGCCATTCCAGATGACTTTATTAATAAGTTATTTGAGTCACTGCTGAGATGTATGGATGCATCATATCATATGATCATATTTAATTTTGGTAAAATAAGCATAATGTCAAGTTATTATTTGTTTTTCCTATACTTGAATAGGCGATAAGACTTTTGTTAGGTAGTGCATGTTCAAATTTAGATAAAATATGGAATTTATATTAAATGTTCTGTAATATTATATTATATTAATGCAATAATTGTTATTTACTTTCAGTGTTAAGTTCAACAAGTTCACCGACATTGGAGCTACAAAGCTCAGTGCTGCGCTGAAAAACTGCCCTGGAATGAAGTCTTTGGAGTAAGTGTCTATTTTTTTATTTTTATATTTACACTTTAACATTCATTGAGATTAAAGTGTTGGTCATCAATTATTTTATTATAGTTTTTAAATATTAGCATTTCAGGATGTATCACAACATTAGCCTGATTTAAACACGAAATAAAAAAATGTTCAGACTAAAACACCTGTAAAAATCAGATTTCAGACCATCTACAAAAATAATGAATAAACACAAAAAGATTAATGTGCGTTTTCCCGCTTTCAAGACTTTAAAATGAGTTAAAAATCCATCTGGATAAAATCAGAATATGCCCCAAAAAATAATCTAAGCCTTTACAAAAAACGATTTTGTATTTAATAAAACGTTATGCAGCTCAAATACATTTTCTAATCTGCAATGTTGATGTAATGTTGTTTTCCTTGTCTGTCATTAGGCTGTGGAATAACTGTATACCCTATGGAGTTTTTGAGCACCTCCGTCTTCAAGATTCACGGATTAAATCACTTTAACACATTAAAATGGTTACACTGTTACAAGCAGGGTGTTTAATAACCATAAACTTCAAAAGTTCATCAACGTCTGACGACAAGGACACTAAACTGCTTTAAAAGCTGTTTCTCTTTTCTTTTTAAACTTACTTTATGACTGATATGATGACTGACTTTTGCACTTTCTCACATTATTGTGGACGGATAATGTTTCTCAGCACTTTACTGTTGCTTTATAAATGTAAATATGATTTTTATGTACATATATTTTTTTTTACAATAAACAAGCTATATGCGTCTGGCTTTGCTGGTTTTGACAAGTTCACATATTTTAGTTTCTTTTATAATTCAGAAAAACTACTTATGAGTTTATTTTAGTTATTACTGCAGCTTTAATTTTTATGTTCAGTTGCACTGAATTAATAATCAATCAAATTCAGCTCATACTATACCCAGCTCATACAGTGCTGGGTAGCTTCCTTACAAATTGTAGTCTGGTAGTACTGATTTCACATTAAATGTAATGTAGATTACTCATTTGTACATTCAGACTATTAGATAATATTTTGATTACCTAACTTGCTTAATTTTTATTTATTGTCACTTCAAATTCAGAGGCAAAGATTGCAAATTTATTTACATGGCCATTCTATATTCTGAATATTCAAAACTAAAAGATCACACACACACACACACACACACACACACAGCTGGCTTATTTTGAAAATTTAACAGAGAAAACAGAATAATTTACTCACCTTGCGGGAATATTCATGTAATTGTAGTATGATTATAAGCATTTCAGAACATAATCTGACATAATTGCAACTGCCAAAATGTTTACAAATTATGATTACATAATCCAAGCACTGCATACATACCGTTGATAGATAGACAGACAGGTAGACAGATATATTCTGTAGGTTTCATCGTTAAACCGAAGACTTTTTAAGACCATTATCAATGGAATTTTAGACTTATACTGGCTAAACACTAAGGATTTTTTGTAATTGCCAATGGAATGGTTGGACCAATGGAATTGGGAAAAAATATATATTTATTTCTTAACCACATTTTAATGTGTCAAAACAAGAAAACTCTAGCTATATAGTTCTTTTTTCAACATGTTTTTTTTAATGACAAGTTTAACATTGTTAAAAATATATTTATTATGAAGAAAACTACACGAATAATCAAAAATACACTACCTAACAAAAGTCTTGTCGCCTATAAAGTTTTAGGAACAGCAAATGCCTTGACTTCTGGTTGATCTTTTGGTATCAGAAGCGGAATATATAAAAGATAAAGGCCTCTAGATTACACTTATTTTAGCAAAATAAAATATGATCATGTCTTGATTTTTAATTATTTAATTAGAACAGTAAGACCTGAGTTAGACAAAAGTCTGGTCTCTTAACAGAAACAATGTACAGTATAGAATATAAAGTCATGGTGCAGTGGAAAAAGAATAAATAATGTGTTTGACTCCCATGAGCTTGGCTGACTGCATCAATACGTCTCTGTAGTGACTCAAATTTATTTATAAAGTCTGGAATGAAAAAGAAAGCATTCTTGCAGGACTCCCAGAGTTCATCAAGATTATTTGGATTCATCTTCAATGCCTCCAACTTACCCCAGACATCAATAATGTTAATGTCTGGTGACTGGGCTGGCCAATCCTGGAGCACCTTGAGCTTCTTTGCTTTCAGGACTGTTGAGGTGGAGGTTGAAGTATGAGTAGGAGCTTTATCCTGCTTAAGAATTTGCCCTCTCCTGTTGTTTGTAAAGGCTGAATTATACTTCTGGGTCAAGCACACTTGTATGCTACAGCTCAGCCTACGCATTGACGCATAGCCCTATCCCGTGGCCGTCGCTGCTGTGCACCTCTCAAAAAATGTAACTACACGTCGCAACGATGCGTAGCACAAGCTCTGTGATTGGTCGGCTTGATATCGCTGACGAGTCTGGGTGAGCCCGATGGAGCGATTGTTTACCAGTGTGAAGTCCCGTGAAGGATCTCCGGATGGAAAGTTTTGTTTTGTGTTTACCTCATAGTTAAAGATGTTGCATGTCTGCCAGTCCTGCCTCAAAAGGAGCGAGTTTGAGCCACTTGTACATTCAGGAAGCGTTCATAAAAAACAAAACACCATCGGAGAAACTCGACACAGAGGAGCATTAACACCTCACTGCCAACTAGCGTTTCTGAAGTGTTAATGCAGACCAACCGTAACAGTGTGCAGAAGTATAAATGCACAGCCACGCGCGTTGCATGCACCGTGAGTTACGCCAGTCACTTGACGCAGAAGTATAAACCAGGCTTAATGTAATGGGCAGCACAAATGTCTTGATACCTCAGGCTGTTTATGTTGCCATCCACTCTGCAGATCTCTCGCACGCCCCCAAACTGAATGTAACCCCAAACTATGATTTTTTCTTCACCAAACTTGACTGATTTCTATGAGAATCTTGGGTCCATGTGAGTTCCAATAGGTCATTTGCAGTATCTGTAATGATTGGGATGCAGTTCAACAGATGATTCATCAGAAACATCTACCTTCTGCCACTTTTCCAAATGATCAACTAGAAGTCATTATTTGTTGCTTTTACAACTGAGAACAATGAAAAGACTTTTGTCAAGTAGTGTATTTATTTGTTTGCTTTTATTCCAAATTAATTGAGTATAACTCCTATTCAACCTAATGGGTTTCTGTTAGAAATCCTTAAGTTTCATGCCTATTATAAATACTTTGTCCACTCACACTTTCTTCTGTAAATAGTTTTTGTGTAAATGAAAGATCATGTGAATGGATATATTTCTGTTATTATGATCAGACAGACAGGTAGGTAACAGTGTAGGTTTTCATTTAGAAAAGCAAAGCTAGCACAGTGACTTTCTATAATTAGGCACTAGAGATTTGAAAGTCAAATATGACACCATGGAAAGTCAAAGTAATCATTTATTAAATATATACTGAACTGGTAAATGAACCTTAGCCAAATAATTCATTTCGTCACAAATATGTGGTTCCAAAAGGAGTCTCATAGAAAATAAAACACTGATTCAGGCGGATTGTGTGTGTGTCATGACGTATTGCTCATTTAAATGGTATTAAAGGGAAAGAAAACATGCCAAGGCAGACCACATTTAAGGGCGCCTGTCTACGGGGTCACATCGACACAGAATCCTGCCCGAGTGCTGAAGGCCAAGCTAAAAATAAATAGGCTAATGTAATATTAATACCCACAGTAGTGGTTAGTGCCTGAATTTGAGCTCTGAAGAAACACTGACTGGCTGCTCCATGGAAAAGCACACGGTCCGCTCAGCTTATCTGTTCCAGGTAAAATATTCCATGTAGCATGATGGCAGGTCAGTTCTCCGAGTCTGGACAGCCTGTAAGGACAAGACACTTAATGTAGATTTGTTCCCGACTTTGTATGAATCACATATATATTTTAACATGACTTACTTATTCATGACATTCATTTTTATACTAACTGACCACTGCAGCATCTTTTAATGCCAAATGTAGTTCCCTTTGACAATGGTTCTCCTTTAACCAAATGACACCTTGCCCAAAGCAGCTTCGGCTGGGATTGCCAGTCATAGTAGCGTTAGTCTATTCCAGATATCCCTCAAAAACATCCAGTTCAGTGTCTGTGTCATAGGGAATAGATGCTGGGTCAGAGAGAACGCCCAAATCCACGAGAGCCTGGTCCATATCCTCTGGCAAGAACACTATCCCTACATTAAGAACTATGTACTCCATTAAAAAGGCATAGTAGAGGATTAAGACATTGACAAAAAACAGGCCGAGATAATACATATATGGAAGCTCGTCGATTAGCGATTCCACTGAATCTAACTGAAAGTAAACTGAGTTTGTCATAGACTCCACCACATAGACTTCAGTTTCAAAGAGCAGAACAGACACATTAAAGGCATTTAATCGCACTTTATATGAAACAAGGTAGTGATGAAGTGTGTATCCATTCGTCTTCGTCAAGTAGCGGTGCAACTCCCTTTTCAGCAGAATTCCTCCTGCAATCCGTTCAACAATCACGTATGTTTCCACTATACAGCGCATAAGTTAGTGAAGGAAAGCATGCTTGAATGTTCCAAGGCCACGTGCTGCTCTTTGACATTAGGACACATATATCCCGAGTCCTTGTTAAAATGCTGAACATTCAGAAATATAAATCACCCGAATGCTCGGCGAAGCTTTATAACGCGTGAAAAACAAAAACAATCGGCGCTTTCTCATGACTTCACCAAAACCGTTGCCTGCGCAATGAACTCTGGGAAATAGAGTGCGTGGCGATGTGGTGGTGAGATGTTAATGCGTTCTAGTCAGAACTGAGATAAACTACAAATCCCAAGATAACGTGAGCTGGGCTGTCTTGAGCGATAGGTCGCCAGGTATGTTTTCATGTGAGGATTCCGGGGCCTTCACTGCGGCGGATATGGATTCCTACGCTTAGCAAATTGGGCTGAAAACATAGAGTTTGCGAGATAAAAGCAACCGAAAATGTTTGGGCGGTCAAGAAGCTGGGTCGGAGGACAGGGGAAGTCTAAAAACATTCATTCTTTGGACCATTTGAAGTAAGTTGTTTTGGGTAATTTGTAGCTAGTTCGCTAGCTCGTAGAGTTAAAGCTGTATTATTGAGCCAGTGTTAGTCATTGCTGTGGAAAGTCATTGGTACGTTTAGAAAATTGAAACGTATTATTTCTACTGACATAATTAATTTTAATGGTTAAATCAAGCCCGCGTTTGTGTGTGTAAAACAGCGGACTTGTCAAAATCAAGTGAGCTATTTAACGTTAGTAAGATTTTTGTGACATAATAATAGTGGCCACTGTACAGTAACGTTAAGTTAGTTTATGTAATTCTATATTATGTTAGATTACTGTAGTTTTAAACATATTATTTAATGTTGCTTTCTAATATGAAAATTTTTAAAGATATGTTAATATGTAAGGTGTAGTGATAATATGACATTTCATTTGACATGCAAACCATATTTTATTTAGGTATATGTACCATGTCCTAACAAAGAACACAACAGTGACTGATCACAACAGAAATCTTCTCGTGGAAACTATTCGCTCCATTACTGAGATTCTCATCTGGGGTGATCAGAATGACAGCTCAGTGTTTGAGTGAGTTTTGCCTTTCTGTTGTTATTTTTTTTAAATTCCAAAAAACTAAATCATGTTATAAGTGACTGAATGCATCATGCTTTCTTCATAGCTTCTTTTTGGAGAAGAATATGTTTGCATTTTTCCTCAATATATTACGACAGAAATCTGGACGCTATGTTTGTGTCCAGCTTCTGCAAACGCTCAACATTCTTTTCGAGAACATCAGTCATGAGACCTCTCTGTGTAAGTAATTGCAGAAAGGGGGAGGGGACGATTAATGCATTATGATTTTATGTTAATGTTCTGAATGTTCAATATTGCATTATTTTCCTTTTCAGATTACTTGCTGTCTAATAATCATGTTAATTCCATTATTGTGCATAAATTTGACTTCTCCGATGAAGAAATTATGGCGTACTATATCTCATTTTTGAAGACTTTGTCTTTGAAGCTGAACAACCACACCGTTCACTTTTTTTACAATGAGGTAAGATGCATTTGCTGGGGCAGCTCTCATTTTTTAAATGACAGATCATGTACTGAAAGCAGAAGGGGGCTTTTATTTGTGGGTTCGATTGTGATCGAGCAGAGCTCTTCCAGGAAGAGCTAACAGCTCACTGTGACTCTGTAAAACCATGTTTCCTGTGTCTTCATGCAACTTGAGCAATTATTTTGTTTCATTTCGGACAGAAAAGGGCCAGTTGTAAGTTAACTAGTTTTTTTTATGCTGATTGGAAGGTGACATATGTTTCAGGGCTCCTTTGTATAGGGGGAAGTTATTGGTGTACTGTAAATGGTTGTGTTTAACAGTCGTGTGCTCTTTATTCTGTGGCACCTTTGATACTGGGGATCATTGGTGTCAGGAATAGAGAAGGCCTAAACGGAAGGATTCACTCTATGAGAGATTTGAAGCTGCATTGTTTTTATATACATTATTAGTGTAAAATTACAGTTAGAATTATGTAAATCAGTGTAAGTTATTGATGTTTATTTTAATTTGTAGAATGCATTTGAATAGTATTTTTCTTCAACACCTACAGATTACAACACTTTGTGTATGTTGTGTCAGAGAGGCATGTGCTGTTGGTGTGGTGTGAATTGGCCTGTTACACCAGTAACCATATACATCAAATAATCTGTTTTTAAACATTTAGCAGTTATTAGTATTAAGATTTCTGTATTTTGGATTTTTATTCAGCAAAGGACAAAATACTTTAACATTTAAATCTAAAGTAAAGAGTAAATCTTTAAAATAAGATTAGTGTAGTGTAAATCTTTCTCAACACTTGTTAGTTAAACATTACGTGCATTCCGGAAGTATTCGCAGTGCTTAGTTTTTTTCCATTTTGTTGTTACAGCCTTATCCCAGAATATTTTATGTTTTATTTTAAATTCATACTTTTCCTCAAAATCCTACAAACGATACCCCATAATGACAACGTGAAAGTAGTTGGTATAAAGTAATTGCTAATTTATTGAAATAATAAAAAATAGACCTAAATATTCAAAGCCTTTGTAGCTTGTTGAAGCACCTAAATTGGTGCTCATTATAGCCTGAAATATTTTTGAGTGTAATGCTACAATATTGACACACTTATTTTTTAGCAGTTTCTCCATGCTTGGAGTCCTTCCCAAGCTTCATCAGGTTTAACAGTTATTGTCATTTTTGGATCTCTCCAGATATTTCTGAGCTCTGGTTGGACAATTCAGGAACTTTGACATAGATGTCCCATAAGTGGGTCAAAATTAAAAGAAAAGAAAAAAAAATAATAATAATAAATAATATATATATATATATATATATATAATGTGTGTGTGTGTATATATATATATATATATATATATATATATATTGCTAAGTAACACAAACAGGCTGGTGTGCATACTCTCATGGAAAACCATGTTTACTATTCTAAAAGACTAAAAGACTTGCTGTTGTGCTTCACATCAGGTGATCAACACCCTATAGCAGGGGTATCCAAAGTCAGTCCTGGAGGGCCGGTGTCTTGGAAAGTTTAGTTCCCACCCTAATAAAACACACCAGAATCAGCTAATCAAGCTCTTATTTGATATACTAGAAACTTCCTGGCAGATGTGTTGAAGCAAGTTGGAGCTAAACTCAGCTGGACACCGGCCCTCCAGGACCGAGTTTGGACACCCCTGTCTTATAGCCTCTTTGCTATCTTGGCTTTATGCATCCATTCTTCACTCTAGGGATGGCATTGGCCAATGGTTTCCTCCAGACAAAGAGTTTTTAGCAACTCCAGACATACTGTCATGGTGTTTAGCCACTCTAACATACAGGCCTGATTAATGGAGTGCTGCAGAGAGAGAGGGTTGTTGTTCTGGAAGTTTTTCTTCTCTCCACAGAGAAAAGCTCGAGCTCCTTCAGAGTGACCATCGAATTCCACACTAAATGTTCATTTTTGCTCTGCAACAGATTATAGGAAGAACCCATTTTTTCAATCCTGCTTTTTTGTACCCTTCTCCATATATGTGCCTTCATACAATCCTGTCTCGGAGGTCTACAGAAAAATTAGTTGTACTTGATGGTTTGGTTTGTGCTCTTACATACACTATTAAGTTAACTGTGTGACCTTATAGACAAATATGTGACCTTCACTTGACTGTGACCTTGATGTCTTGTCAACTGAATTTGCCACTTGTTGAATCCAATCAAGTTCTAGAAACATTTCGGGCATGACAAGGGGCTCCTGATTTCAATATTGTGTGCCATGGCACAGGTTGTGAATGCATAGAACTTGTGATTTATTTATTTATTTTTATTAAATTTACAAAGATTTTCCACAAACGTCTTTCACATTGTCTTAAAAATATAAAGCAAAAATGAATCACTGTGAATACTTTCTGAATGCTCTATACAGCTTTTTGTTTTTTATTCAGGTTATCCAAGTTTCATAAATAAATAAAGTAAGCAGATGAAGTAATGTTACTTCTTAATAATGTATGTTCATAAATTGTTTCAAAAGTATTTATTAAATACTCCAAGCTATGTTTTTATTTTAACCAATGTAAACAAATGTAACATAATTGTAAAATGCGATCATTTTTAGATATCCTTTTTATAGAAAAATATCAATCCAAAAACTGTACTAAACTAGATCAAGTCTACTAAAATTATACAGTGTATGAGATGTTACTTCTCTTGAGAATTAGCCAGGTCAGCCTACTAAATGAGATTAAGCAGTGATTGTTGAGGAAACGTTTGGGAGTTATAGCTGTGGATGTGCATTTAACAAAAATGAGCTTGTTTCAACGTCTGATTTTACATCACTAAAAAAAAGAGGGGACATTTTCAATATGCGTGTGTGTATGTGTTTTATGTAACTGAACAAATGTATAATGGTTTCTACTGACAAGTTAAGCTGCGCAACATTGAAGATTGGGAAGGTATAAGCTTCATTGATTTTAGTCTGTTTTGACATGGAGTTTTCATAATTAAAATACTACTAATTATTAATGATCAAACAGATGTTATTAGTAAAAAAAACAAATAAGTTGTTCAAATAGTAAATCTATTATATTTTACAGTAAAAAATCAATAAAATGCATGCTATATATAGCATATCTATTAAACTTTAATGCATATTTAATCTGGATATAAAATAAATGAGCTTGTTTCTCCATCTAGTATTACAAATCAAAAAAAAAAAGGGAACACACTTTGCTTTGTGTGTGTGTGTGTGTGTATTTGTTATATGTAACAAGAATTTTAATTACACACATTTAAATCTACTTATCATCCATTAGTATTGCATTCAGGGACTATTTTAGTGGTTTTATGTTCCCATTTCTTCTCTGTAGAAATCTTGAATTCACATAAGAAAACAAAGCTCCAGGTGTTGTGTAGCATGAGTAGTTGCAGCTCTCCTCTCTCTGAGCTAATCCTCCACGCTGACGGCCTCGCTCTCTGTCTCCCATGCTTCTAGCACACTAATGATTTTGCCCTGTACACGGAGGCCATTAAGTTTTTCAACCACCCAGAGAGCATGGTCAGGATCGCGGTCAGGACTATCACACTCAATGTGTACAAAGGTGAGTAGAGCCCTGATTCAACTGCCGTCAATCGCTCTGTCATGCCTGTGATGCATGGGCAATGCTGCTGACGCTGCTCTCTGTCATCCGTGAGTAACACACACTTGCATTAGGAACCGCTGCTGACGCTACATACATGCACGGGCACACTGGGGTTTCACTTGGATTGGGTGGAAAAAGGACTTATGCTGCTCTGTTTCTCTGGCTTGTGCTTGAGCATAAATTCTTCCTTTCTTCCATTAACTGACATGTTTACTACCTGCTTTGTGCTTGCCTTTGGGATTTGTTTTGTCTTCTAGATAATTAGTCAATCCCTGGGGAGATTGTTTTTTTTTTTTTTTTGGTCAAAGTACTGTCAGTGCATGTCTGTAATGTAAATGTGCATATAAATGGCACTAATAATATTTGCAAACACTTGAAAATGCTTGAAAGTCATTGCATTTAATAAAAATCTACTTGTTCTATAAAGTAAAGGTCAGTTGTTCTAAAATAAATATAGATGCTTATCATACAGTCTTTTGACAAATATGAAAACCCATCTCTGTCAATATTAGTAGGTGTTTTTTTAATTAATAGTAAAAATATCGGTAATCATTTATAATCTTTTATTCTGTAATGCATTGGGTTGGTCAAAATTGACAGTATATGCTTTTAATAGAAGATATTTTCATTTAATATTTTTGTACTTTTGAACATTCTATTCATCAAAGTATCCTGAGATTTTTATCATGGTTGACAGAAACATGAAGCAGCACAAAATTTGCGCGCATATTATTTATTTGTTTACTTTTTTGAAAGGTCATGAAAATGACATAATGGCTGTGTAAAACTTTGCAGTAATCAATTGAATTAATTATACATTAAATGTATATAAATGGAAACAAAATATATTTAACTGTCACATTAATTCACAATATTATTCATCTTTTACTGTATGCAACATAAGTGAGCCTAAGAGACTAATTTTAGCAATCAACAAAAATCTTAAGGCCACCAAGCATTTGAAATTTTGTGTAACACTGGTAACACTTTTATCTGTTTATTATATGGTGAATAGCAATGTCATTCAAACATTTTTAAGTGCTGTATGAGTCTACCTCCCGGGTCTAAATGGGGTATAACTGATTTTCTTATGACCGATCACTAGGGCTAGACAGAATCTGCGGACATTTTTTGGCTACTTCTGCTGAGAAAAAAAAAAAAAACTGCAGATTTATGTGGAGTGATTTTGGGAGTATCATAACTAAAAACTTAATATATGAAAAAACAAATTGCTTTTTATTATTTTTTTTTAACGTTGACAATGCAAATCCATCTAGATCCACTTATTTGGTAAACAAAGCAAGTCTGTCAAATAATATATCTACTAAAAGACAAAAATATTACTTTCTAAACTGTATTGTAAATATTCAGATGAATGTTTTCATATTGGTCAATAATATTACTGAAATGAATTTGAAAAACTTAATAAATATAAATTTATACACGTTTACACAAGTAAATAAATAGACTCAATGATGGGCTAAAAAGCAGATTCAGTGTGGGCCTACCGATCACATGCATACTATATAAATGCACTGAACTTATTTTAAACCTCTAGTTACATGCCTAGATTGTGGGGATTAAGCAGTTGGGCAGTATGCTTTCCTTTTTGCTTTCGCATGTTCTGGCAGATTCATGAGGCTTGTCGATATGTCTGGTATTTTAGTCTGTTATGGTTCCCTGAGTGTCTGTTGTGCAGGTTTAGCGTCAGTCACTAGATGGCGTGATGGTTTCATCTTTTGGCCTCTAGGGCCCAGAGCTCCACTAGCTCAGTCCCTTCATCCTGTTTAACCCTTTGTCTGTTCTTCCCCTCTCCTTCTATGGTGACTCCTGTGTGCCTTATTCCAGTCTCATGTAAGTGGTCAAACTCAGAATTTCTTGTGCCACTCGTATTGCATGCTCTCTTGAATTATTGTTTACAGTTGCATTGTTTGTGTGTGTATTCAGAAGGTTTACACTTTACACACGTTTTAATAATAGTTTAAAATATACTTATTTATTGGTGCCTTTGTTCACAACCTTTTTTTTTTGTATCTGATGGTGATTTTTATTTTATTTTATTATTTCTTTGGACCGTGTTGGTTGTATTTACGCATTTTAATTTCCTAATAAAAGATTCTGGAGGTTCATTGGCTAAAGATCAACTTGTATTCCATTTATGAACTTTAAAATGATTCCTAATCTCACATGTCAAACATAAAGAGGCTCGTATTATATTTGTATTTATTCTACTAGTGGAGCATGCAAAGGTCAGTTGACTTGGGGCGGTAAGCACCCAGCCAGAACCCTTTTCATATGCTTTTGTTTACTGCATAGTGAGCCTTTAGACATTCAAAGCATGCCTAATTCAGGACTTGTCAATTGCATAAGATCAAATGTAGTCAGCCAGGCTTGGTTTCATCATTTAACTTAACCCTCCATCATCTGACCATTCACTCTGCCCATTGCTCTATAATTAACCGCTTTATGAGGGCCAGTTGCCGTCATCGTGTGTGCCTTTCTCGTGTTATTAGTTATGCTACACTTTTCGCACGTCACTGTGGTTATTTCCTGATCCCTCTGTTTGTTCCTGAGTTACAATGTCCTCGTTTGTCAATCCCTGCAGTGGACAACCAGCACATGCTACACTACATCCGGGATAAAACAGCTGTGCCGTACTTCTCCAATTTGGTCTGGTTCATCGGTAGCCACGTCATCGAGCTGGACAAATGTGTGCAGACTGATGAAGAGTAAGGCTTTCATAATATTCAGAATGGATTTTGTGTATTCTCTATACCACTAGGTGTCACTTTAGTCCACATTTTATCTCAGTGAGCTTCATACCAAACCATCTGAATTCAAAACATAACTTCTCTTTCTAACATTATGTATTAAGTACTGTTTTCATATAGTATGATTAATGCTGTGATTGCGTTCCTATCTGTATTTATTCTGATTAGGCATAAAAACAGAGGAAAACTCAGTGATCTGGTAGCCGAGCACCTTGACCATCTTCACTATCTGAATGACATTCTCACCATCAATTGTGAGTTTCTTAATGATGTGCTGACTGACCACCTCCTCAACCGCCTCTTCCTGCCCCTCTATGTGTATTCACTGGTCACCCAAGAACAGGTGAGGATATTACTACACTTGTCTAAAAAACAACTAGCTTGCATCTAGTAGGCTAGTGTTTAATCCAGGCTTACACTGCATTTTGCCATTGTAAGTGATCAATTGATTATTTATACCGGGTTCATGTGGTCATGGAAAACCTGGAAAAGTCATAGAATTTCGACAAGGCATTTTTTCAGGCTTGGAAAAGTTTTGGAAAAACAAAAAACCCACAAAGTTTTGGAAAAGTCATGGAAATTAGTTTAACAAATATCTGCATACTTAAATTAGGGCTGCACAATATTGGAAAAATCTGACATTTCTATGATATATATTGCGATATGAATAAAATATATATATTAAAATTTCACCAGATTATTTAACAGGCTTATTTTGATTGATTGGGGGGCTTTTGTAGAGAAGTGAATCTCGAATAATATATAACAAATAAATTATTATTATAAAAAAAACTGTTGTGGCCGGATGTTTAAAAATTTGAAATATGGAAATGTTCACACACAGTTGTAGGCGTTAAAGGGTATAGTTTACTTACAGATTAAAATTTACTCACTATTTACTCACTCTCTTGTTTCAATACTATAGGAGTTATTAAATTTAATGCATTTTGTGTGTTTTTTTTTAAGTCAAATATTAATGTTTGAAATAAGTGAAGGGTGTAATGAAAATGGTATGTGATTTTTGGGTAAACTAGCTCTTTAAAAATGCATGCAGTTGATAAACTTTTACTCCATTATGATTAAACTATAATCCCAACATTGCATATCCTACAATGGGACTATTGCGGATCCACACAAGCTACATTGTAAAAGTGCTATACAAACAAAAGTGAATTGAATTGAATTGAACTTCTTTTCTGTTCTTGGCCAAAAACTTGCTTTCACATGGTCAGTGCTGTGTAAGCAGCTTCACATAAAATATCATAGTAAACTGAAACAGTGTAGTTCAAATTGAAACAGTGTAGATATCCTGTAAGAAATTTAAAGGTCATTGTTTTTCTTATTATTTACCATGTATATGTAGACATTACATAAAACATTACGTTATGAAAATGTTCTTGAAAGTCTTAAAAAAGTCAGGGAATTTTGGTAGTAAAACTGTATATGAACCCTGTGTATACATACAAACCTAAAATTATTCATAACATAAGTTTTTGAGTTTTGTTTAAATGCAAAGAAAAGCTGAGAATGGGAGAAGCCTGTGTCATTTCCAGTAAAAAAAAAAAAACTTGCTGGTTGAATAAAAGTGTGTTGGGATAAACAATAAACTACTACTGTTTTCCATTGTGACACCTTTAAAATGTATTTCATTCCTGGGGTGATCTTTTCACATGACCTTTTAAAAAGTACTTTAATAAGATCATATGGTGCTTTAAGTAACTTTACTTATTATTGTAATTATCAATGTTGTATTACTCATTTAAATAAAACTCAAAAAAATTAAACCATAAATGGAATGTAAAGAAGCAGTATTTAATTATCTGAAAGTCTTTACTGTGACATTTGAATATGGCTTTATTATTCACAGGTCTTAAGAGTCACATGATTCTTCAGAAATCACCCTAATATTTATTATTATTATTATTATTATTAATAATAATAATAATAATAAAATGGTAATAGTAATAATAGCAATGATGACTGGAGTAATAATTTGATTTAAAACGACATACCTAAGAAAGCAGTTATTTAAAATCTTAATAAATATTTAACAATTAAATTTTTTTTACATTTTATAAATGCTGCCTAGATGAACAGAATAACTTTTTTAAAAAAACTTGAAAAAAAAGTACTGACTCCAAACTTCTGTCTGTCTATCTATCTATCTATCTATCTATCTATCTATCTATCTATCTATCTATCTATCTATCTATCTATCTATCTATCTATCTATCTATATATCTATATATCTATCTATATATATAAAACTAACTTAATGACATTTAAATTTCTAAACTGCAATTTTTATGTTTGTGATTCAAGCACAGTGATTCTTATTTTTTGCATTTTTTTTCCACAACTTGGATTTTTTTGCATGCCACATAATGCCAATATTTATTTTCCCCAGACTGAAGACCGCAAAATCAACCCTCAGGTGTCACTCTACCTGCTGTCACAGGTACAAAAAACTGGTTTGTTTTTGTTGTGATTTTTTTTTTATTTTATTTTTTTTTTATGAGTAGCTGATAACAATTATGGCCTATACTCTGAGCTGCATATGTAACAACATATTATGTCCAATGTCTCTAGGTGTTCCTGATCATCCACTACCAGCCACTGGTTCACTCTCTGGCTGATGTTATCCTGAACGGAGACCTCTCGGTGTTCACCTTACAGACTGAGCAGAGTGCTCACAAGAGTTCAGTGAGTACATATGTCAGTTGTGATCTTTATTTGAATGTGCATACAGTGAGTAATCATGAAGGATGGATTCTCACAAGAAGAGACATAAGAGACAAACCAATTAGTCAGTAGGTGGCATTTTATTGAAACAATATTCAGGGGAAATAAAGCTTATCTAAATGACCTTTCATTTAACTTGGCCGTGGCAATAAATGGAAAAGAAACCAAAACTGAAATCCATAATCTATAACCAACGTAATTTCCCCATGTCTGTTTGCCAGTTTATTTTTAAGTCACTTAATACTATTCCTTTAAAACATACTACTGCATGTGGACAGACTGAGCACTTGAGAGTTTCACTGACAGCTTACATTTCGCTGACAGACACAGTTTCTTTCTTATATGCACACTGCTTGTAAATCAGATCCTCTGTTGATTGTTTGTTTGGTGTTGGGCAGGAATGGCAAATGAGAGGGAACATTTTGAGTGAACACAAACAACGTAATTAATATTAGGAGGTAGGGCTGCACAATATTGGAAAAATCTCACATTGTGATATTTTGTTTTTCAGTGATTTATGGATTGCAATACAATTATAATTTCAGCAGATTAATAGAAAAGCTCTATTTGCAATTATTTCATTCAGTTACAGTGCTCAGCAAAATTAAATACAAACCATTTTTAAAAATGAACTTTTTAATCTATTTAAACAAAACAGATTTATTAAACGGATATGTTTATTAAAACAATATTTTAGTCATCAAACATATTTAGAAGTTGAAGATAATCAATTTAAATTCAAGCAAAATATTGCAAACACAAATTACAACCTACAAAATTTCATTTTTGCTTCTTTTAATTTTTCCTCTTTTTTTATTTGTATTTAATATTTTTCTATTACATAAATTTGGGTGTACTACTTTTTTGACCGTTATCATGAGTTATTTTGTTAGATAAGCTCCAGATTTGACTTCAGTACAGACTAATCTGATGTATAAGCTCAAATATAATATTGTATAGCTTCCTATTAACAATATGAATTCAAAAGATTCAAAAAGATTTGTGAGGGGTGTACTTAAATATGCTGAGCACTGTAGATAGATTGCATTTGTATAAATTACAAGTGTGTATATATATATAATGTATGTGTGTGTGTGTGTGTGTGTGTGTGTGTGTGTGTGTGTGTGTGTGTGTGTGTGTGTGTATATATATATACAACAGAGTAAAGATGACAGTGAAATAAACAGGGCTTTATGGTTTACTGGAGAGTATCTAGGTACAGAAACTGAACAATCAAACATAAAATAGCATGGTCATCATTGTAGTAATAATAATAATAAAAATATATCTTTATCTTTAAATCTTAAATAAACAATTTACTTTTGCAATGTGACTATTAAGAGGCCTGCCAGATTATTAATAGCAATAGGTATTTATTTTATTTTTTTTTTTTTTAAATGACCTATAGCATCACTTACTTTTCTTTGGCTTATTGCCTTAGTTATTTATAAAGGGTTGTGACAGAATGAACCATTAGCATTATTTAGTTCTATCATAGGCCATTTTACATTGAAAATATTTAATTGACTCATGTTTTGTTACAACTTTAGTTGTATGATTTCCAGTTATCACATAAGAATGTATAGAGCTGTCTTTTTGTAAAGAGAAATGCACATTTGCTGAGTAACAAAAAAAATATTAATTTTCTTTTCGGCTTTATTTATTAATCTGGGGTCACCACAGTGGAACCGCCAACTTATCCTGCATATTTTTTACAAAGCAGAATCCCTTCCAACTGCAACCCATCACTGGGAAACACCAATGTGCATACTCATTCACCCACATACACTATACTGTCAATTTTAGCATACCCAATTCGCCAATACCACGTCTTTGGACTTGTGGGGGAAACCAAAGCACCCAGAGGAAACCCACGCAAACACGAGGAGAACATGCAAACTTCACAAAGCAATGCTATTTGACCCAGCCAAGAATCGAACCAGCGACCTTCCTGCTGTGAGGCAATCATGCTACCCACTGCACCACAGCGTCACCCTAAATAAATAACATTTAATTTTATTAAATAAATTATATTTAAAGGTGCAGTAGGTGATTGTCTCAGAAACATTTTTTGTTGTGCTGGTTGAAAGTCTCTTTACAGTCCAATAGTAATGATTAAAGTAAATGATCTAAATATGTTTATATGTATTTTTATATTCTGAGTAAGGCATAAAACTAAAAAATGTTCCTCCAATTAAATAGAGTCGGACCGACGTCTCCCATGATTCCGATAAGCAGCTCAGACTGTCTGTCTGACTTCTGCGCAGACAAGTTCACGCAGATCGGCCCGTCTGTATAAGCGGCCGCGCGGCCACGAGACAGACCGGGAGAAATCAAATGCTGAATTGAAACTTTTAAAAACCTGAATCAATATTGGAGTTACTTTAGCACGCTGGAGGAAGTACGACACCATGGCTGAAGTATTACTGTTAGTCAGGTAATGTTCTGTTTTAAAACTATTTTAGTCAGGCTTAGCTGATGTTAGATTGTGTTGTGTTATGAATGACTTATATGCACAGACATGTTGTTTAGCCACGGAAATCTCCCGGTGAAAGATTAATGTGATTATTTTCAGTTTCATAAGATTCTTTTACAGCATCGATAATGATTTATAGATAGATTTATATTTAGTTTAACAACAAAACATCAGTAAATAGCGCTATTCCGCCTAACCTGCTTTATTGAGCTGAAGTTGCTTTTATATTCACATTGGGTCATTTTTGAACAATGACGGCCTTCCTATACTGTTTACCGTGCTACTCTAAATATTCACTCTGAAATAGCATGTAAGTGTGGCTAAGTAATAAATATAATTCCTGCACGGCGCTGGCACTAACTAACTGGCGAATGACATGAGCTAGTGGGTTGTTTGTCTGCTGTTGTGACGCGGTGCGCGTGCTCGTGATTTCAGGGCGTGTGGCTTTGAATCACAGTCCCTCCCCGCTGTCCAAAGATTCCAAAGATCCAATGCTAAGCGGTTAGCATTTTGGCAGATCACCTACTGCACCTTTAATATAATCCATGCCTTCATCACTACCCGCCTGGATTACTGTAATTCACTATATTTAGGTATAAGTTCTTTGGCCCGTTTGCAGGTGCAAAATACTGCAGCACGTCTTTTAACAAGGAGTCGCAAGTTTGATCATATTACTCCGATTTTATCTTCACTTCACTGGTTACCTGTACAATATAGAATTCATTTTAAAATCTTTTTGTTTATTTTTAAATCCTTAAATGGTTCTACTACACACTATATATCTGAACTGTTAAACCCCCAAATACCATCACGTTCTCTTAGATCAGCATATCAGCTGCTTGTTAGAGTCCCAAAAACCAGACGTAAGCTTAGAGGTCACCTTGCATTTGCTGCGGCTGCCCACAAGTTATGGAATGCTCTACCTTGTTACATTAGGCAGGCCCCTTTGCTGTCTTTGTTTCAATCACATCTCAAAACCTACCTATTTTTCTTGACCTTTGACACCTTATCTGATATTTGTTATATAGTGTATAGGTATGGCTTACATGTGCAGTTATTATTGTTTTAAATGTATACTATGTGCTATGTGTGTTTTTTTATTATTTTGGTAAGACTTTATTTTGTTGGTCCCTATTGCTCATTTTGTTGACTAAAATTTTATTGCAACGACATGTCAGTTACTTCTCATTTGAGTATTAGTAGACTGTCTGCTTAATATCTGCTGAGACTGCTCCTTCAACACATATAACTGATTATAAGAAACTTTTCAAGTACATGTCAGCTTAAACTAACCCCAACCTAACAGTCTTCTTATAATCTAATAAGAATTAGTTGACATGAAGATAAAATGTCACTTAAATTCAACAAAATGCGTTAAAGGGACCATCAAAATAAGGTGATACCATTATTTTTATTCCATTATAATTTTAATTTTACTGTTCAGCACTTTGATCTGTTGCTCGGTGGTTGTGAAGTGCTTTATAAATAAAGTAAAATGAAAATACAATAATTGCATTGAAAATAAAAAGAAAGTCATTTTCAAGTTTATTTCAATTTTCAACTATTTCAAGTTTATTTCTATAGCGCTTTTACAATGTGGATTGTTTCAAAGCCGCTTAACATAGTAGTTCTAGTAAAGTCCAGATTTCAGAGTTGAAGTTCAGTTCAGTGTGGTTTAAATTTCATTGCTGAAGGTTCAAACACTGAAGAGCAAATCCATCGATACACAGCTCCACAAGTCCCAAACGAAGCAAGCCAGAAGCCCTGAGTTTTGAGATCTTAAAGAGCCGGTTGGATTGTAGCGAAACAGAAGATTGGTTAGATAAACAGGAGCTAGATTATTTAAAAACGGAAATAAGGACGGGGTGATATGATCATATTTTCTGGGCCTGATAAGAATGGTAGCTGCATTTTGTATTAGCTGAAGTCTATTAATAAAGGATGCTGGGCAACCAGCGAACAGAGCATTACAGTAACCCAGTTTAGTAGTCATAAAAGCATGGACTAGCTTTTCTGCATCTGAGATGGATAGCATACTTAAGTTAGCGATATTTTTCAGATGTAAGAAGGTGGTTTTTGTGACGTGGGAGAAATGATAAGTTACTGTACAGTAGAGCTAATAATTAATTTGTACCCCTCTAATTACAGGTTGAGTTGTGAGATCTGCTGTGTACAGGATTTAGGCCCAATAAGTAACAATTCTGTTTTGTCTGAATTTTAAGAGAAGAAAATTGTTGGTCAACCAGTCTTTAACATCTTTAATACTCCCAGTTTGCTTAGAGAGTTCAGACGTCTCATCAGGTTTAGTTGAAATATCAGTAAATGAGTATTATCTGCATAGCAGTGAAAGCTGATCCCATGTCTTCTAATAATGTCTCCCAGGGGTAGCATGTAAATTGTAAACAACAAAGGGCCTAAAACTGATCCTGGTAAAACTGATAACTGGTAAAAACAGAAGTGTTCGTGCCTTCTTGGCATCATGCTT